AAACAAATTGGACGGCTGTTTTGGTGTTGGGCCAAGATCTTTTCTTTTGTGATGATTAACACCCCAGGCAGTATTTAAAATAATAAATATTTTTCGAGAATTTACCTCGTAAAATGAAACATTAATTGTAAAGACGACCTAAAAACAGTAAAAGGGATTTTGCGTTTCCACGGCTACGTATACATAGCAACAAGCTATTGTTCAAGTGGCGAGCGATTTGAGGACCTTGTTATTAAAGATGGTTTAATAAATTGGAATAACTTTCGTTTGTTTCAATGAAATATTGTTTACTCTAGAAACGAAATACATTAAATGTTATGTCATAAAACATTTCTTGCAGGTAAACATAATAATTCAACTGTTTTATGTTAATGTAGGGAATGTTTTTGAGTCTAGGTGCGATTTATGACGTAGCCCGAGAATACAGCCGTCTCTCGCTCTTCGCCACAAGGCTGCCTCGTACCCTGATGCGCGTTCTGGCGGATTCGAGAGCGATCCGAGAGCGACTGGAGCGATTTTGGTTCCGCGCTAGGCATCAATGCTAAACGTTGCCATGGTCCATTGTGCGATACTCGTTGATCGCTCGCAGAAGTCCCGTTTTCCGTTTTCCAAACACTTGAGACGCCAAGGAACGAGGCAAAGCCTCAGGGGACGTTTCGCGGAGAGAGATTCTCCCATCGAAATGTCGCGGGCTGTATTCGCATCCTATTTATGACGTTATGAATTCAATAAAACTTTTGGTTTAGGCTAACCACGATACACGCGGAAGTTTTTGAGGAAATGTAGAAATTCGGGGTCTAAACTATCCACTCAGCTAGAATAAATGGATTTTCATTGAGTGGGTACGTTTTAATAAAAGGAATTACGTACACGGAATTGAAAGTCATTGTTCCTAGCTGCTTCTGGATCCCCCAGATAGAAAATGGTGAATAAATGGGAAAAGTGGGATAAAAAAGGGAAAGGGAACAAAGGGTGAGTATCTTGAAAATTCGTCGACCAAAGCTTTTGTGTAAATGGCGTATAGGATGATCATCTAAATTCAATCAAAAGTGACTTGTATTTTTCATTTGAACAGAACCTGTAAAAAAGCCATAAAACCTCAATTCTGGCTTAATTCTCTCCTTACCCTCCCCTCATTCCCTCTCTTCTTTCTTGGCTAAGAGAAGCCTTGTAGTCTAGTTGCTGCCAGTATTGAGAAATTCCTTAATTGATAATACTACAGTAGAACCTCGATAACTCGAACTCCCCTCTAACTCGAACAAAGTCCTATTTCCCTTGGATTTCACCCCACGTTTCAGTCATTTTTATTCGGTTAACTCGAACTCGGGTAACTCGAATTCCCCGCTAACTCGAACTAAATTTCCTTTCCCTTAATCGAAATTTTAATGAAATTTACCCCGATAACTAGAATTTTGGTCTTTTTTCCCATTCAGGTGGTATCGCATTAGCTGTTATTCTTGTATAATCGGTAAAAACACCAAAACTAACACTACAGCAAATTGATTTTAATTGGTGCAACGAACATATCACGTTTATCACAAAAATGCATAGTCATGTTACCATTTTTGATGAAATAAGTAAATTTGCACTGTACTATACACACCGAATTGTTGAAAAAACAGTAATTATCAATTATTAAAGTGGCGAATTGAAAATTCAATCGACCCTGATAACTCGAACCCCCCGCTAACTCGAACTGTTTTTCGTTTCCCTTCAGAGTTCGATTTACTGGGGTTCTACTCTAATGGCAAAATCTAAACGTTCTTTTAGGAAACTTTAGAAGCTAGGTAAGCAATGTGTGACTCCCATGTATGGCGGATGCTCGTTCAAAATCACGCGTAGAAGAATACTGCAGGGGTGGATCCAGGATTTTTTTTTAGGAGGGGGTGCACTTGTCTCTTGCCCTACTTCAACACCAATAAACCACACAGTTTTTTTGTGCAGAATACTAGTTGTATTAGAAAACCGCAGGTCATCTCAGGTGGGAGGGAGGGGGGTGTACACCCCCTGCACCCTCCCCCTAGATCCGCCCCTGAATAGTTTCACTTTCCTGAACTACAGTATCATCACAAAGCTTTACTGTTAAATGATATAAAGTGTTTGCCTCTTTTTTCTTGGTCTAAATATTATATCATAACATAGCTGGAATATTCGCCTAATCAAATTCAATAGCGCGAGTGTGCTACATATTCCCATTGAGCACGCTGATGACGTCAATAAACTATACCTCGAGTTCTTGTGAGTTTAGCAATCCTCCCAAGAGGTCTCCCAAGTGCATCCATAGCTCAACAGTACACTTATAAGGTAAATTTAACAGAAAACGTTTGAATTTGTTAACCGATAGAAGGGTAAAGAGGTGAGTATTGTTGTTGTTGTCGTTATCTCTGTGAGCTGTGCGGGCTATGCCGAGTGCAGATCATTCATTGCAAAGTTGTTTCTCTCAAAAATTATTTTTCGGTGAATTAATAGTTTTCCAGCACCTCAATATGGATTTTTATAATCTTTTTGAGAGTTATCTTAAGCGACTCGGTTAAATTTTCTCTCAGTTTCAAGATAAAAACATAAACTTGACTGTGAGGTAAGAATTGTCGTGTACTGCTTTGAGCGCGCTACAATAATAAAATTTTAAGTTAACTGCTGCATTTTTCTCTTGGTTTCATTCTAAGAGGCCATCAATTAATCTCAAGAAAACTAAAAAATTAGTTCATGCTTCAGCCGTGCTTATGTCGAGATATTACAGACCTTTAGCATCAGGTTTTTCATGGAAAACCGCAGACCGCAAACCGCAAAATGTCACGTAACCACGGCCTTGCGACCTTTGCCCTTTGCAGTTCACGTTTGAACCGCAGGAAGGGCTTCTAGCGGTAAGTGACTTACGGTAAGGTTTCTTGCCACTGAAAATTGTACAGCCTCGGGGTTTAAAGACACGATCTAGCTTTTTGTATCCGTTTGCGATGTTTTTGTTGGGTTTTTGATCTCGAATCAATGAATTATTCCTGTTTTTTGGGCGATAAAAGTGATGCACTTCGACTTGTTGAAAAACAACATGGCGGCACTAAACAATGAACGCGTAGTTCAAAGCGATTTTACATTCCTGCCGTACTAAAGTTTTCTGTTCCAACCCAGAGTTAAAAATTTTTTTCTATCTTGTTACTGAATTCATTACTTAAAAAGTCTCTGTTTAGTTCCTATTTTTAACGTATCACTCCAAGAATTTCATTTTATTTACTTAAATTAATATTTCTTTGCGAATGGGGAGCCCAGGCTTCATATTCCTTCTGGTTTCTTCTGGCCTCCCTCGCCAACTTACAATTCCTCCATGTATTATTTTATTGTATTATATTTTGGCTGAATAAAAATGAAATGAACTGAACTGAACTGAACGCGTTGCTAAAGTTTGAAATCTCGGCAACGTGAAACTGCAAACGCGTAACTGCAAACTGTGGTTTGCGGTTTGCCGTTTCCCATAAAAAAACCTGATGCTAAAGGTCTCTACTGAGCACTTGGGAAGTCTGGAGAGCACTCAAGAGGCTAGAGTTGCTCGAGGCACAGCCGAGAGCAACTCTTTTGCCTCTTTCTAGCTCTCCAAACTTCCCGCGTGCTCAATATCTCGACATACGCATGCTGACGCATAAACTAACTGTTTATTTTTCTTGAGATTAATTGATGGCCTGTTAGAATGAAACCAGGGAGCTAACTGTCAATTCAAGATTCTTAAAGGAAAGGAAGATATTTGCATCATCGGCAAGAAAAATAAATTCCAAATCTTTGCACATCACCGATATCATCAATATGAATAAAAAACAACGCAAGTCCAAGAATAGAACCTAGTGGGACTCCAGAAATAACACATCAAGTAGACGAGCGATGGCCATTGTATTGAACAAATCATTTTCTTTTGAGATGAAAACTTAAAGGGACAGGTTCACGATAATGCTCATGTGTGAGTTCTGGCAGAAGCTAATTGTTTTAAAACCAATCGGAAGCGAGTTAGATGCACGCAAGGAAATTTACATAATTCAAATTCATTGTTCGCGACGCGGGAGTATTTCCGGACATTTGGTTTGATTTTATATATCCCCATAATTCAGATTTATTCGTTGCTATTCCTCAGATATATGTTGCAGCCGATAAGAATAAGATTTATAGCCCTGTCCTGCTTTGAAACAAACATTTACCTACGTGTATTTTTACGAGGTCTTTTACAAACGCACGCTAACAAAGCAGTCATCGATCGGCAAACAAAGTTTGTAAACAAACCTTTTATTACCGATCTCTCTGTTCGACCTATATAAACCTAGGAATTCCTGGAATTATAGCTCGTGACCGGTGACAAAAACACACAGTGTATGAGTATACAGATTATCCTAACTTGAGCATAAATTTCAATTGCTTATCAGCAAATGAACAAATTAATTCGCGTTGCATCGGGTCGGTGTTCCGAAAAACAAATGTTATCGAGTAGAACACATAAAGAAACCAGATTATAAACAGAATATTCAGGCTATAATTTATTTTAAAAACATCAATTGTCAAACATATACGATCATACAGCTAAGATACAATGAACATTTCAAGTGTACCACATCGGTGAAGATCGCACGGCCTGTTGCGTATTTTTGGGTGTAACTACAGGTCGGAGTCTTAAATCAAATCAGAGTTGAACAAACTCATGCCTTTTACCACTTTCCAAGTGTGGTGTATTCTTTCCGTAAGCCATACGCAACTCCTAGAACCGTACTAGATCGATCGGCTAAGCTTCTCTTTCTCCAAAGACTCTTGAGAACGTCCTGTTGCCGGTCGTCCGCGACGTTGCTTCCGAGTCTTCATTCACGAAATTCGGTTTTTCGTTTCCTAAACGCCTTTCTCCGACAACAAAACAACACTTACGAGTACTCGAGTACGTTAGAAATAGCAAACTTCGCTTTGCTTACGTAGAGCGACGGATAAGCGAATTTAAAGACAGATTCCCTTGGATTCGCAGTTCATGTCTTCTTCGAATTTAGTGTTGGCCCGTATGATTTATTCCTGCAAGCTGCCACGACGCGCATGCGCATGTTCGTGAACACCCCGCTTTAAGAATCATGGGTAGTTTCAGCCAAATTGAGTACCAGAAGTCCGGTTCAGTCCTTTCTCCCCAATTTTTACGTTCTCATTCGCGTTCTAGAGTAAGAGGAGTCTCTTTTTTTCTTAATCCTTCCAGCCAAACGCTCGTAGAAGAATACAGCTACGCGTTCAACTGGGGGCGCGAGGTACAAAATAGTGAGCTATTTAAAAAGAAGAACCTGCCGACAGTCCCTTCGAGAAGTGCTGTCGAACTGACTCGGCCTTAGACTCCTTTCCATTTTGCTTCTTAAAAAAATAGATTAGAACGTATTCCTTTCAAGGGAAAGCCGAACGAGAACATTCTTCTTTCCAAGCTTCCTCTCTTCTATGACTCTCACAACTTTTCAATACCATTGCGCAGGAACTAGGAACGTGTTTAACTCGGCCTGGTGCCGAGTAAGGTGACGAGGTAATCTATTGCGACGGATTTCATCATATTGACGAGCTCCTAGAAAGCAGAGCAGTGGCATGTTCTGTACTTAGTCTAACGAGCGAAGCACTATGGCCGAGCTGAATTGGTTTTATTTGAACGGCTAAGTATCTCTTTACTCGACAAAATGGTAGGTGTTCTTTTTTCTTGTTTTTACGACATAATTTAATATGCAAGGCCATGTTTTACGGCTCATCGCACTTGAGGAAAATGAGAAAGCGAACAAGTTTTGTCTTTTTGTTATCAATTTCACATGGTGTATCGTTTGCGTGTGAGTTGCATAAACTTCTAAGTGCTATTTCCAGTTGTAATGTGTGTTGTTCCATAGTCTTCGTCTGTATATTTACCTCCACTTTTTTGTACTCTGGCGGAAAGCTTTTTAATGAATTCAGAGTTGTTATTTTAAGTTTCGTGCTGGCGTGTTGTCGTCGACATGAAGTTGAAGGTTTCCCTAAATGCGTCAATTTGATTCCCGGCGTTATAGCCTTTTGGTTCTTTTGCAGATAAAACGAATCTGAACTAAAAATAAGGCAACCCAGACAATGTGAAAGCAAGAAAAGTGTGGTTATTTCCGGGAAAAATGGCAGAGTTTCTTAGAAATTTCAAAATTTCAGTTTGCATGTGGTCAATTGAAACGTGTTTTTGAAGGCTAATTAGAGTAGAAAGTCTGGCTTGATGCTCTTGTTTCAGGTTGAAGTTGTTAAATTCACGGATTTTATTTGATACCTTAATGAAAGCATGATGTCAATGAATTCGAGGATCGACTGTGAAGCAGTCCTTTTTTAGGGTCGTCACACAACGCTCCTCCAGACCTCGCTCAAAACGGCTGCGAAGGACACTAACACACGAGTCCTTTTGTTGTTCTATCCAAGAGAATTTTAGGCCCGGTTCAGACGCCGAACTTTTCATGAGCCGAACCTCATTCGAATTAAGGCCGACCCGAATTATTTAGACCTGCTAAATTGATTCAGACGCCGATCTTAATTCCAGCCGAACTAAATTCAAAAGGAGAAAAATGCTCATTTCGGTTAAACTACTTACAAAATACGTTATAATAATTTATGCATTAGGTTCGGCACATGAAAAGTTCGGCGTCTGAATCAAAGCCGTTCCAAAGTCGCTCCAAAGGCAAAATTCCCGGCCGGGCAAGGCGAAAAGAACGGCTGAGCCGTTCCAAATTGAAACAGGCGTTCCTATAATTGATTCAGAGGCCGAACTCTTCATGTACTTAATTCAATGTATTAGGTTCGGCTCAAGAAAAGGTCGGCGTCTGAACCGGGCCTTAGTTGCAGTTTTAGGCAGATATAGACGTGATGTTTTCTGTGCAAATCGATTCCACGAATAATAACCAAACGACAAAGATCTCATCGAATATGAATGGGACACCTAAGTCAACTTTGAACGTTGCAATTTTGAGCCCTCTCAGAGCTCCTATTCAAATGCACAGACATGATTTCAAAACTTAAGTCGTGACCTTTAAAAAAAGATGTGATTGCACTCACAAGATTTGATTGTTTTGTCAAAAGAATATATCGATAAGGTGAAATTTAAGCGAAACTTTTATAGGTCCATTTTCACATTTTCCAGTCAACCGGTTTGTCTTGGGGTGTGAAATATCATTTCAGTTCGACTGTCTTTAAACTGCTGTTCTTGTAAGGATCTTGAGTTTGCGTTGACTGAATATAGTGCGTACAATAGTAGGTCTAACAGCTTCTAACAAACAGCGTCTGGTTTTGCAGGGAGAAGAAGCATCGTCAGTTTCAGGTTTGAAAAATATTAAATCACTTACCATACAGTTTATATGAAATTTTGCCACAATTAGACCTGTTTTACGTGCTCTCTCATATACAAATTAGAAAACAGCAGTAGACTATCTTTCATGATACTATATTTAGGCCTCTTTTCATTCTTCTGAACCTCGGGAAACGGCCTATAGCGGCAGTTTAAATGTATAGTTTTGAAGTGCAGAAGGCAGAAACTAACCTCAGCTGACATATCAGACACTTGTTAATTCAAATGGTAATGCGAGGTCCAATACTCTTTTTGTTAGAAATGTTAAGGTACTTCTTATTCTTTCAGATGATCGTGAATATCACAGAGTATTTGCTGCGTTGGATGAACTCGATCATAGCGATTTGAGAGCTTTGTTCAAAGAAAAACACTTCAGGGTAATATTAACTACGCATACTATAGTGAATAATCGTTACTGAATTTCTACCTTCACGAATTCTTTCAACGTAAAAAATATACATATTGAAAGCGGATTTCTCAGCGGCTTAAAGTTTCTGTGGGATTCGCACCCTTTTAGAATGTTACTCTGAATGTACCTAATCATCTTTTGTGATATTTATGAGTCTGAAATCAAATTACAAGGTTACTCTGAATGTACCTAATCATCTTTTGTGATATTTATGAGTCTGAAATCAAATTACAAGGTTACTTTAATCCTTTATTTCAGGATAAGACTTTATCTTTCATGAAATCGGAGGAAGAATTAAAACTTATTCTCAAAGAGGTAAGGTGTATTTGTAAGTACAATCAGACAAGATTAAACATATAGAAGTCATGATTTCATTTTGAATGCTGTTGTTTTCGTTGTCCAGAAAAAGGAAAAATTACAGAAATTGCAAGGAAAAGTTGTCCAATCATGTAATCATCGAAAAAGATCCACCTTCGGTTTCTTCTAAAATATTACTTCGGCGAAAAAGCCTTCAGTTTGGCAAAAAGGTCAAATGTATGAATGGACTACTGTGTACCCTTATCCTTAAATCAACTAAAAACGATCAAAAACGGATACAATGTTACAGAGACTTCTGCAATTTTGAGCGGGTGTAAGCCAAGTTTAACTTAGATCTCCTAGTTCTAGTCTCTGCTAAATGCATTCTTCGTACTGTTTACGTTCCATACACCAAATCAAAACGGAATATAACATTTAAGCTGGTAGGATTGTCCGTAATTCCATTATTTGTTTCTTTTTTTATTTGTATTTTATTTACTCCATTTTATAGATAATACATCAGTTGTACAAAAAATTAGTAGGTTGTTTAAACTACGAGTAGAAGCGCACATTATAGCAAAACTAATTATGGCCCTTTACCAAGATTGGCTTTATTATATTACACCTTTGTTATTCATCAAAACACAAAACACACACTCACACACACTGTAAGCATAATATAGTGGTTTGACGTTAGTTACTAGAACCAATGTATATATACAGCCCAGTATAGACGTACATAATCCTACATAGCCCTACTTAGCCATATATAGCCATACATAGTCGTGCATAGCCCTACATAACCCTGCATGGCGATACACAGCCATACAAAGTCATACATAACCCTACATAGCCATACACAGTTCTACATAGCCCTACACAGCCCTACATAGCGATACACAGCCATACATAGCCCTACATAGCCATACAAAGCCCTACTTAGCCATACATAGACATACATAGCCCTACATAGCCATACATAGACATACATAGCCATACATAGCTATACATAGTCGAACATAGCCCTACATAACCCTACATGGCCATACACAGCCATACATAACCCTACATAGCCATACATAGCCATAAATAGACATACATAGCCATACATAGCCATACATAGTCGAACATAGCCCTACATAACCCTACACAGCCATACATAGCCCTACATAGCCCTACATAACCATACATAGACATACATAGCCATACATAGCCCTACATAGCCCTACATAGCCATACATAGCCATACATAGCCCTACAGAGCCCTACATAGACATACATAGCCCTACATAGCCATACACAGCCATACACAGCCCTACATAACCATACATAGACATACATAGCCATACATAGCCCTACATAGACATACATAGCCATACATAGCCCTACATAGCCATACACAGCCCTATATAACCATACATAGCCATACATAGCCCTACATAGCCGTACATAACCATACATAGACATACATAGCCATACATAGACATACATAGCCATACATAGCCCTACATAGCCCTACATAGACATACATAGCCCTACATAGCCCTACATAGCCCTACATAGCCATACACAGCCCTATATAACCATACATAGCCATACATAGCCCTACATAGCCATACATAGCCCTACATAGCCCTACATAGCCATACATAGCCCTACATAGACATACATAGCCATACATAGCCATACATAGCCCTACAGAGCCCTACATAGACATACATAGCCCTACATAGCCATACACAGCCATACACAGCCCTACATAACCATACATAGACATACATAGCCATACATAGCCCTACATAGACATACATAGCCATACATAGCCCTACATAGCCCTACATAGCCATACACAGCCCTATATAACCATACATAGCCATACATAGCCATACATAGCCCTACATAACCATACATAGACATACATAGCCATACATAGACGTACATAGCCATACACAGCCCTACATAGCCCTACATAGCCATACACAGCCCTACATAACCATACATAGACATACATAGCCATACATACTCGAACATAGCCCTACATAACCCTACATGGCCATACACAGCCATACATAACCCTAAATAGCCATACGTAGCCCTACATAGCCGTACATAGACATACATAGCCATACATAGCCATACACAGCCCTACATAGCCATACATAGCCATACACAGCCGTACATAGCCCTACATAGCCATACTACCCATTTATTGGACTTGATAGTTGATTATCAATTGGCACAATTAATCAAAGAACCTACAAGAGTTAATGCCAAATCGCAAACTCTTATTGATGTACAAGGAGGATAATATTTCTCATTCGGTAGTATACACACTTTCTATTAGCGACCACAATTTCATTTATGCAGTTAGAAAAATTGGTTTACCCAGGGGAAAACCAAAGTTCCTTCAATCGAGGAATTTTAAACATTTCAATGAGGAAAATTTCTTAACAGATCTGAAAAATGCCTTATGGCCTGTTATTAAAAGCGGTATGGAAGTGAATAGTGCGTGGAATGCATGGAAAGATATATTTTTGAATATAGTTGATAAGCATGCTCCGACAAGAGTCATGCGAGTCAGAAATAAACCCGCTCCTTGGTTAAATTCTCAGTTAAAAGAGGAAATGTATGAACGTGACTGGCTAAAGAAAAAAGCTTCAGAAACGCAGCGGCCAGATGTTTGAAAGGCATATAAAACTAAAAAGGTAATGGTTAACAAAAAAGTAAAAAAGACAAAGAAGGATTATCACAAACATCAAATAGAAGGAACCTCAGGTAACCTGAAAGCAACTTGGAAAATTCTTAACGACCTAAAGGGTAAGAAATCGGACAGCACACAGATTAATGATTTAAAGACGGAAAATTCTGGGCCTTTATCTGATCCCGAGAAAATCGCTGAATACTTGAATATTCACTTTACAAACGTTGCGCCGAAATTTGCATCTGAAATCCCTACGGTGGATTGTGATGTAAATCCAGCTGATTCCCAACAGCGCGTTAATTCTTCTTTTGAACTGAAGGAAATCACGATCTCTGACGTGTTTAAAAAACTGCAGGAAGTAAATGTTGCAAAGGCGACTGGTCATGATAACATCCCAAACAAGATTTTAAAAATAGCGGCTCCAGTTATTTCTTTATCGTTAGCTGACCTTTTCAACCTCTCGATTACTACAAATACTTTTCCAGATGATTGGAAAGTTGCAAAGGTCTTTCCGCTATTTAAATCAGGTGAACGAAATGATCCAAATAACTTTAGACCGATTTCTGTCTTACCAACTATAGCAAGAGTTTTTGAATGATTATTTTATGAGCAGATGTACGCCTATTTTACGGAAAATAACCTTATTCAGCCTCGTCAATCTGGGTTTAGATCTCTTCATTCAACTGTAACTGCGCTTCTAGATATGACAAATCAGTGGTGTCTTAATATTGATAAAGGTATGGTCAGTGGTGTTATTTTCCTTGATCTTAAAGGGGCTATGTCACCCCACACGCATGCGCGAGCCAATGAAAACAAACTTGAAAAAGTCGGCCCGACTTTTTCAAGTTGTGTTGGAGATTTTGGAAGGCTGTTTTTATCTGTCTAAATCTCAGCCATCGTTCGATAGTTAGCGAAGTTTTGTATTAAGAATCGTTCCATGGTGATTACAGAATAATTTTTTGGGGTTATTTTGAATTTGTTTGCCTGTGGAATGTTTTTACGTGGATTTACTGTTTCCTCTTATCAGCGGCCGTTGTAATGGCAGAGTTAATGACGGCTTCTCTACAATGAGTGATGGAATCTTTGATGGAATCTTCCCTATAGTTCACAGAACCTTTCTATTGAGTTATTTTAGAGGCTGCTGGCTCTTGGATTTTTCTTGAGCTCAAAGTATGTGGACATATAATGAAGCGGCTATCGAGTTGGCGGCGGCCGTTTTTTGTAAACAATTACAAGAGCACCAGGCCATGAGTTTCGTGACGAAACTAAACTCCTGCCGAAGAAAACATTATAAAATTCGGCTAGATTCCTTCTTGTATTTATCTGGATTCACGGCAAAGTTTGCTCGTCCAGATTGTTCTTAACGGACTTAGAGAGGCAGCTTAGTACGAGTTAGATGCTGTAAATGCCATGGTTTTGAACTGTTTGTGTTCGAGCATATTTTTGGAAAATAGGAGAGTTTACTTTCCCTTTTTATCAACGGACTGCTTATAGTGGAGTAGTATACCAGTGATGCTTGGTTCTGTGTTTCTCGCCGCCGCAGTGATTCGGCACGATCGAACAATTTTGCGCGATAATGTATGTTTGACTGGATGTCTCTTGTTCTATCAGCATCTAAATTATAAAATCACTAGCGACAGATAAGTCTAATTGTTAATGATTTAAAACAGTCTTGGTCTTTATCTTCGGTCACCAAGATAATTAACAGCTCGTTAATTATGATCACCAACATAATTAACAGCTCGTTGGAGTCGGGAATTTTTCCTGACTGCTGGAAAGAGGCCGTGGTCACACCTCTGTTAAAGAAACCGGGACTTGAATCTCTCTTCAAGAACTTGCGTCCTGTAAGCAACTTGGCTTATATTTCCAAGCTCACTGAGCGAACAGCATTTAATCAGATATATGACCACCTTGTCCGGTCCGGTCTCTATCCGCAATTACAATCTGCATATCGCCGATAAGTAGTATAGGAGGGACCGGTTAGGCCTCTTTTTTGAGCAGGAATCTCATAAGCGTGAGCAGGAATACATTAACGCCGATGACGTCATAGGCTATTGTCCTCATCTCATGAATAAAATGCGGTGGATTTAATTAAGTATACTGGTTTGACCGATTTGTCAGGTTCTATTTTTAGCCTGGTTGATATAACTGGTTTATTTTTGTTTTATGACATAACTGATTGTCTTGAACTCATGAATAACATGCGGTGGAATAAATTAGCGTCGATGTCGTAATACTCTATTGTCTTGTACTCATGAATGAAATGAAGGGGGAATAAATTAGTATCTATGTCGTAATAACCTATTGAAAACTCGGATATATATAAACAAGACATACACAAAGGGGAGCTGAAAACGCTTTATTTCAAGTTTGACTGACTATTACAGAACTGTTTTCTCCTTTCTATTTCGAGGAAATGAAAAACTATTGAAGTGTCAACGTTTCACGCGTCGTTAGTCAGTTAATTATGCGAGTTCACAAGCCCAAACTTGAATACAAATTAGTTCATCTCTACAGCTAGACCCAAGGGAGCATATTGACGAATTATTATAAAACAAATCAATTAAAACACGCGACTCATAATTGCTAGCAATAAAAACAGAAGAGAGATACCGTTTTAAAAAAACTTTATTAAAAACAAAAATAGTCAAATACACAGGAATGGAAATTAATTAATCTTCATCTTCGCCCATGGAGTACTTGTAAGGTTTGAATTTCTTATGCCGACGTTTCTTCAGCTGTTTGCCATGAGATTTATGATCATCCAAATAATTTAGAAATTGAATCCGACGCCTCTTGCGCTTCGGGCCTTGTGGTGATGGGGTTTCTACTGTTGGAGGAGGGGTCAGGAAAGCAGGATTTAAGGGTGGTGGAGGGGTGAGGCGTTCTTTGTCAGGTTTTTGAGAGATAGCCGCTTGTGTTAATTCAGGTGTTACATTAAAGGGGTTGAGGGGAGTCGAGAATGCTGTCGTTGCTGTCGAAGAACCTTGTGTCCTTGATGTTAAGTCTGAAACAGTGCTGGTTATTTCTTCCGGTCGTGTTCTTGTACTTAATTGTTCTTTAAAAGCCAGGTATCTGTTTTGCAACTAAAGGTATCGTTTAGCTTTTTCATCGTCCCGAAGATCGTTTCGAGAAAGCACGTTATCCATGTTGTCTTGTATTTCTTGCATAGCTGGAAGAAGTGGGACAGGCGAAAGAGTTTGCTGCTTCAGATATTTTAGAAGCTCTTGAGGAATATTTTCTTGAAACCCTGCTTGGTTAAAGCCTTCTTCACTGGGCAGGACGTTTGTTCGCGACCGACAATTATCTTGGGTAGTAGTTTTCAGATCAATCAGAAGATAACCAAAAGGTCTTTTTACAGCCTCTTCGTACTGATTTAAAAAGAAGTCAGTCTGCCCGGGATACATTTGCTTCGCCAGAGTCAGGATTTGCAATTTGTCTCGTGGATTCTTGAATAACACCACCTTTCCCCTGATGAAATAGATTCTGCACGATATAAATCACGCTCAGATTGCGATGATGAGAACCACGAGTAAAAAGGTTCACAATCCGCTTGTCTTTACTGGCGTCAATCATCTGATCATCAAACACGATCAGATTCCGTTTGTTCACATCAAAATAGGAATCCTGCTCCAAAGCCGTAGGAATTCCCTTGACGAATTCAATGTTTGGCATGGCGACTAACATTTGTGTATACGCAGGCTGCCATTGTGAATAACACCAAACGATCCTTTCCGGGGGAGGGTAAATGGTCTCTGAAGCTTGTTGCAATAGAGATCGCACCCAGGCCGTTTTTCCTGAGCCGGTCATTCCGGCAATCATGGAGGTAAAAGGATGCTCGAAGCGAAACCGCTGACATTTTTGTGAAAACGGAACTGTTTGAAATGGTGTGAGACCAACATTGTGGTGTTTAGACATCACGTGCCTTTGCATGCTATCCTTTCTACTAAATGATTTTTCGCAGACAGAACAGAACCAACTCATGTCAACTCCTCAGGAGCAGAATGTAGACTGAGAAAGAGGTAGAATGTTGCGCATTGATATAGTTTCGAAGGCTATAAAATTCAATAGTTTTCCTCCACCACCACCACCACCGCCACCACATTTCTATTGTTTTCCCTCCACCACCACCACATTTCTATTGTTTTCCCTCCACCACCGCCACCACATTTCTATTGTTTTTCCTCCACCACCACCACCGCCACCACATTTCTATTGTTTTCCCTCCACCACCACCACCACCACCACCACATTTCTATTGTCTTC